TGATCCACCCTATCCAGATCCCTCTACAGAGACTTCCTACCCTCAGGCCAATCAACACTGCCACCCAACTTGGTGTCACCTGCAAACTTACTGAGGGTGCACTCGACCCCTCATCCAGATCAGTGATAAAGATATTAAAGAGAACTGGCCCCAGCCCTGGGGAACACCACTTGTGACCGGCCGCCAACTGGATTGAATTCCATTCACCACAACTGTTCGGACCTGACCATCCAGCCAACATTTTACCCAGCAAAGAGTATACCCATCCAAGCCATGAGCAGCCAGCTTCTCCAGTAGAATGTCGTGGGAAATGTTAAAGTCTAGGTAAACAACATCCAGAGTCTTTCCCTTGTCCACTAAGTGGGTCACCTGTCATAGAAAGAGATAAGGTTTGTCAAGCAGGACCTGCTTTTCATAAACCCATGCTGACTGGGCCTGAACACCTGGTTGTCCTGTACGTGCCATGTAATGTCACCCAAGATGACCTGTTCCATAATCTCCCCCAGAACCGAGGTCAGACTGAGAGGTCTGTAGTTCCCTGGCTCCTCCTTACAACCCTTCCTGTAGACAGGGGTCACACTCCTTACAACCCTTCCTGTAGACAGGTGTCACACTTGCTAACCTCCAGTCAACTGGGACCTCCCCAGTTTACCAGGACTGCTGATAAATGATGGAAAGTGGTTTGGTACTAGCTCTCTCAGTACCCTCGGGCAGATCCCATCCAGTCCCATAGACTTGTGGGTGTTTAATTGGGGCAAAAGGTCATAGATTTCCCCTTGGATTGTGCGGGCTTCATTCGGCTTCCCATCCCTGTCTACCATTTCTTTCCAGTGCATGAGCTTTACAGGTAGATATACAAAAGGTTTCAGTGACAGCTGTCCCTGGAGCACCTAAGACCAGTCCATTAGAAAGGAATAAAAGAGATCAAGAAACAAAAAAACCAATAGATGTAAAGCATACACTAGTAAGCTGTAACCTTGAACCTACTGCAGGACTTAAGCAAAGAAGTGTTATCCATTCTTTTCTGAATGTTCTACTCAGAGCACAAAATATTTTTCTTACTGATTTTATTATATTGGAGGTAAGACCTGCAGCAACAAACACAGAGAGGATGCTGTCCCTTGCACTAAACAACATCCTGTCTGGTATCAGACACTGCATTTTAGAAAAGAAAATATTTCCCTTCCTATTGCAGAAGTACAGATTGAAGTTTTTGAATTTTAATACTAAACATTATATTGGTGTACTAATTACACATATGCTCAATCTTTCTTTTTAGTTTTTGCCTCGTTGGACTGGGAGTATTCTTCCTTCCCAAAGGTGCTTTTTTTTTTTCCTTGGAAGTTGGCTAGTTAGTCCATGGGAATGGAATCACGAATGCCTTACACATATTCTTTCACACTCACTGTCCCACTGTAAGATTTCATTGACACTAGTGGAACTGTCTCATGTTTATAGACACATGAAACTAGAATTCAGTTCAACATGAAACCTATACTGAGAATCAACCTCTTTGTTAGCCACTTCTTCAAGCAATACGTTGGATTTCAGACAATTACATTCTATGATTTTACTGACAAATGCCTCTTACAGATAACCATCTTTCCTGGAAGTTCAGCAGCCCCTTATGGTGGGCTTCACTGGAAATCCTGGAAAACATGATGGCTCAATTACTTACGCAGTGAATCTCTGAGGAAGGTGTTTATGATACTCCTTACCGTGTTCCAATCTATGTAGCCAATCACCATATCGGAGTAATTATTTGCTTAAGATGAACTACTGACTGTGATTTCAGGTCTAAGACGGCTCTTCAAGGAGTGAGTTCAGCACTGGCACTCATAAGTTAAGCAGGTTATACAATTTTGGCCACCAAAGCATGAGAATCTCTGGACAACATTATGGATTTTTACAGAAAATTAAAATTCAGGTATTTCTGGACTCTCGTGTGTGTAAATGAGTCACAAAGCAAAATTGACTAACTCTGAAAACATGTAACTTTTAAGCCTTCAGGAAAACAAAAGAAAGAAACAATAAAGTAAAAAATGTCAAGTGTCCTGGAGAGAGACTGCAAACTTCATAATAATAAATATTTGTAGGAATGACTGGGAAAATATTTACATCCTTCCATCATTATCAATTGCTCGGTTTTATTTAATAATCAGACTTAGCTCCACAGAACTAAATAAGGCAGTAATCACCATGAGACAATCTGCGCTCCAGAAGGTCAAGTAAACATTGTCAAAAGCACAGTTCAAATAGTCACAGTGTTACTAAAGACGACTTCAGCACATTCATACTTTCTGGCATATTTACCAAACTTAAAGAAAAGACAAAAACATATTTAAATGTCACTGTTTCTTTAAGTCGCACAGGAATGCGGATATCCCGGGTTTTATATCCAAAGTGAACCTCCATTTATTTTACACAGTGTTTCAGTAGAATGGTAGCTTTCACTCAAGCAAGGAAATTTCTGGATCTCTAAACAAAATAGAAACACAGCAAACCTTGACCTAACTATATTTCCTTAAACTAGGCTGTCTACCTAAAAGCAAGGAATATTTCCCTGAAGCCTCTGTTAAGCATTAGAGGAAACTGCTAGTTCTGAATTAGTAACTTTCAGAAATTTCCTGAATAAGGAAACACCCTAATATCCTTACTTTTCAAAGAGCAATCAGCCTTTTCTTACAAGCTACTTTTCACTTTTAAATTACTGCTTCCTGATTAGACAGACTTAATGGAAGGAGCAGAACATTCTTGTTAATAAAGCTATGCAACCAGATCAACACTGAGACACAACTGACACAGCAAATGCTCTTTCCACACACTATATATAAGGCAATAATATTTAGCTTAATCCTCTTATGTCAATATTTCCTGAAAATATAGGCCTGGATGAGACGTTCAAAATTCAGCTGTTAATACAGGAATTCTTTTAAGAACAGATTGGATATGTCAGAAATAGCTTTCGTTATACTTTGAACCTGCCCTTGTGGCCAGCAGGTTGAGGGAGGTGATTCTCTCCCTCTGCTCTGCTCTTGAGATCCCACTTGGAGTGCTGCGTCCAGCTGTGGAACCCACAACATCAGAAGGATATAGAGCAGTTTGAACGAGCCCAGAGGAGGCCACAAAGATGATCAGGGGGCTGGAGCACCTCTGGCTGAGAGAGTTGGGATTGTTCAGCCTGGAGAAGAGACGGCTCTGGGGAGACCTCATTGCAGCCTTCCGGTACCTGATGGGGGCTACAAGGAAGCTGGGGGGGGCTTTTTACAAGGGCCT